TACCTTTAAAATCTTAATATTAGCTTAAAATGCCACTTGAAGTCTTTCAATTATTAAAAATAGGTGTAATATAAATGATATAAGATAATCTTCTTTTTACAACATCCAAGAAAGCTCTTGTACCAAAAAATAAAAGTTTAATTACACTTGATTTATGACTTTTTACTTATGACTTATTACTCAATTATACTCTTAGTTATATTTTGAGAATAGTTAAGACTACGAGAAATCTAATTTATTTTTTGATTATATTTGTTTAGCCATGATAAATCTAAAATGATTAGATTAAAAGAAAATCTAATGCTATTAAATATTACAAAACTACTATAACTATTAATTATTATTTTTATAGGAAGAATTTCATGAATAATATTTATTGAAGACAATCGATAATCATCTATGACTTCTACGTGAACAGATTTAGTTTTGTTCACTAAAGATATGCTATGTCTTTTAGCAAATTCTTCATCTTAGAAACACAGTGAGGCTTCTAAATCTAATAAGGCACAAGCTTTGTGATATTTAGGTTGTAAAATAACATTTATTATAAAACAAGGAGAGGATTCTAAGAAGAGAATAGGACCTTCACTAGGTGTTGTACAAGGTTCCAACCGCATAATCCCTATTGTAGTTGGACAAACTTGTTGTCTAACATACTATCTTCTTTGATAGCCAAACTCTTCATTTTGTAATTACGTTTTTTCTTTGAACAATGTTGAGCAGTGTGCTTAGGTTCTCCATAATACAAGCACAATCCTTTCTGACAACAGCAAGTCTTTTTTTGCTCAGTAAGAGGTTTGAAATATACCACATAAATTTGCATATCCTTTATTTTCAAATGTATGTGTTGAGAATACATTAGCATTGTCATTGAAATATAGTAATGTTGAAGTGCACTTGTGTGACTTTCAAATTGAAATTCAAAAATTGATTATCACACCTCACAACGAAGTCAATTATTTGACTTAATGTTTAACGATCAAGTAAGTTGAGCATCAATTTTTTTACTTCATATTATAATCCGTAGACAAATTGGTTAAAAAATGTAGCATCATTTTCCTTGATATTAGTTGCAAGTTGTCAAAATTATGAAGCATATAACATTCTTGATTAATCATCTTCTTGCAAAATACGGATCTTATTGATTACAACATGAATTGTGTCATGTTCTTTATACATAGATCAAAATTCTATGAAAAAAGCTTGTAGATTTTCTAATATTAGATCTTATCATTCAAAAAAAGGTGAAAACCATGATAATATTTAACTTGAAAGAAATGTATCAATGAATCTAAGTTGTGATCTTGGAGTTGAATAGCTTTAGAATTGAAGTTCAATCACAAGTTGTACTTAATTGATAAATCCTTGAAACTTGGTTTTTATGCCAACAAACTTCTCAAGCAATGTAACCCTTGGTTCTTTAATATTTGTAGGGTGTTCTACCATAAGAGAAGAGACATAATTTAGTGCATATATTGAAGCAATTCCAATCATCTTTATATCTTCGCTTCCTACCATTCTTGTTACTTTTTGTTGTTGTAAATTGAATTGATGCATTGCAAGCATTAACTCCTTTAATTACTCTAGCATTTGTATCATTGGACTTTTCATTTCAAGAAGCTATGCGATAATAGCACTTAAAGAAGAGAAGATGTATAATATTGCTCAAGACAAATAAAAGAAAAGACTTAAAAATAAAGAAAAAAATACTAATGACAACATCAATTTAGAAGAGGATAATTTGCAACTCTTAATATGCTTAAATTTTAATAAGAAAAAGAAATAATCCACTTTTAATTAAAAAAAGACAAAGCTTTGATATTATAAGTGTATTCATGTCAATTTTTTAATGACAAGAATTCAATGAAAGCAAATAAACAAAAGAGGCTTTTTCAAAGAAATATGACAAAATAGAAATAGAAAAAAAATATATATATATATATATATATATATATATATTAAAAAATAAACTAGAATGGCTATTGCTAAAAGATAAAGAAATCAAAGACACTTGAAACTAGACTAGAAACAAGTAAGGAGTTGATAAGAGGGAAAAAGACTTCATTCTTGCTTCTATATATACTCTCTCTTTAGGATCTATGTCGTGATGTTCTATAGGACTTCTAATAACGTGTTGACTTTGTATGACATGTATCTTAACTTGCAAGACAAGTTTTTTATATGGCGCCACATAATTAGCTTATTTTCGCAAGCCATCAACATATGTGGTACATGGTTAGCTTGTTGATCAAGTTTCTAACCTATTAATCAACTACAAACACATGAAAATTTAAAACAACATCTTGAAAGCTTCTAAGAAGTTTTTCTAAAAGGTATTATGAAATTAATCTACTTTTATGTACTTCTACTTATTCATATTACCTAGGTAACATTTATAATACAAAGTGTTGGAGAAGAAGAACGAGAAAACCCCAATAACAACAAGTAGTGAGGGAGGGTGGAGAGGGTGGAAAATGAGTGACATGGGTCCTCGTGGTTGCAGGCCTCTTTTAGTTGCCTACTCTTTTCTTTTGCAGCACCGAGCGGCGCCAGGGAAGGAGGCTGACCTTGCGCACTAACATCGCAAAATTTTCTGCCAAAAGGGGTTCCCCCAGGTATGCCATTATTCTTGTGGGCCTGGCAGCCAGCGAGGAGTGCGTAATTCTCCTCTCGCCAAAGTGATGGTTGCCATTATTTTTTTTCCTGCTTCGCGTCGACTAGAATCAACTTTGGCATCCCTCTTCTTCCGTCTTCCCTTGCTCGATTGGCAGCCGTGTAAGCGGCGCCATCTTGCCACATGGTGTCCCTCCCCGTCGTGGCCGCAGTAGCAGGAAGAAGAGTGCATTGCCCCACCTCGTTGATTACCATCACCCCACGCACTCTCTCCTTTGCCTTGTCATGAGCATGTCTCGCAAAAAATTCTACGCGATCCACGATTCATGAAGCTCGATTCGCCCGAATCAGACCGCCGCGATGATTTTCCCCACCCACCTACTCTCCACGTCTTCATCTGCAGTTCTGATTTTGGCCTCTGTCTAGATCTGCTGCTATGTGGTCCTGTTGTAAACTTTGGATTGTTTGTTTCCTTTTCTGCAAAAATGAAAAAAATCCTAAATTCTCATTGACGCACATGGAAGTCTGGATTGGGTACATGCAAAGTTTCCTACATATTCACGGACAATAATGAAATGTAGTTTGTTTAGAAATTTTAGCAAAAATGGTCAGTCTGAAGCTCGAGACTAACACTCGAATTACAAATGCTGAAAAAGTGAAGATCCCCCATAATAGTGGAGAAAAGAAAAAGAAAAAGAAAACAAAAGTGCTGGAACAATTCAAATTGACTTATTATCAATGTTGTCATAATTATCAATTGCGCGATTTTTAATTCGGAAAAGGTAATATTTAGATGCTTTGGAAAGTAACAAATTTGCGATTTTTTCACGTGAATGACGACCCACTTTATAGTTTTCGATAAAGAAGTCGAGAGAGAGAGCATGATAATACGGCCTTTCCAAAGCTCAAATTACATCAATGCCAGAACAGAACCCGAGTTTTGTCTGCAAGAACGCCGAATTAGCAAGTCCAGCTCGGAAGTCGCTCGAATCTCAGAGATCATGGCCTCCGAAATCCGTCGCAAATCGGTGCCAGTGCCAGTGCAAGTGCCTTAGTGGTAGTCTCTAAAAGAGGAATTTGACAGAATGGAGTCCCCCCCCCCCCCCCCCCCCCGTGTCACCGTGTCCGATAGGGGAAGAAATAATTCACCGAAGCATCACAACAAGGCTAGTGATGTACACAACCAAGACTTGATACTTTTCCAAGTCTCCGACGATCTCTGCGGCATTGTCTGCATCTCGTTTTACTGTTACGTCGATACAATCTACTCATTCTATCTTTATTTTATTATATTTTTATCACATCTACTTTTTTTCCGTTTCCTGCGGCCGGCACCAATGTAGAAGTCTCTGTTTAGTTCTCTTTAACTTTTCATTGCAGCTCGACAATCGTACAGGCATTACTCCAACTTTTCACATGTATCACTGGAGCTCAGGCTAATGACCACGAGGATTTTTTTGTTTGAGCGGACAGACGGTGGGCAGAAAAAAAGTTACTGGATGTCGTCATTGAGCTTTTAGTTCGTGACAACAGCCACTAACCCCATTTAGGTTATTATTCGTTTTCTCCAGCTAACAATAGATGCTCGATGCTTCATGCTGACACGAAAACACATACTATTTAAAACACATCTCTTCGAATGGAATCATTTGTGACATTTCTAGGCAACAGAATCTTCATATTTGTGCAAATGAACGCATGTTTTTCTTCACGGCCGAGATAATGCCATATTCGTGACCATGCAAGGTGCTCGTTTTCTCCTTCTGGAGACCATTACGGGTAGGCTCGCAAGCGGAGGATGCGAAGGGCACATTGAGGTGGATGTGTTGTTATTATTTTTAGGGGTGGATGATAACCATAACACACAAAGAAATGAGGAGAAAGAAAGTAGGGGTTGGGGTGGTTGGTTGTTTAGCAGGCATGGCTGGGGTTGTGTGGCAACACATGAAGAAAAGAAGAGAGAAAAAAAAAAAAAAAAAAAAAAAAAAAAGCAAGAGAAGTATGGGGAAAGGGAGCATCAGAGATTTACCCTAACAACCGAATCTTGTTCCACGGAAATGCATGCATGCAGGCGATGTAAATCGGCAGTAGAATATAGTTATTCGGAGCTAAATTAGGAGGTCTCCAGGAACAGGGAGGGGCCTATTCCCAGAGCGGATCAGAAGGCGACGGTTGAGTGGGTTCACATTCACACGATGGAGCTCACAGGTGGGTTGGATTTATCCGAGCAGCAGGGACATTGAGGAGAATAGAATGGGCTTCACAGGGAGTGGTCCATCGGCTGGTTGCTGAAGGCAGGGTACGTGTGGGAGGGAATGGTGGGGGAGGCGGATTGGCTTGTCAGGGATTCAAGAGCATGAAAGCAGATTTTATTAATTAAATAATACAAGTTTAAGCACGCGAGTTAAGGTCGGTCAGACTGCTCCAAATGCCAGGCATCACGGGGCGAACTGGCCCCCCCTTTTTATGGCATTCGACGAGAAGACCAGCCTCGGGATAATGTCGTATGATGTAGCTTAGTGGCGACGACTGGCGAGTGATGATGAGGCGACCCACCTTTGCAGATGATTGACAATTCCGAGGGTCATCAGTTGGCTGGCAGGCAGACAGAGTCACAGAAGTGGAAGGCGAAATCGAGTTTGATCACTGGAGCGACGAGAGTGAGAGCGAGATCGAGAGAGAACGAAACAGAAGCGTTTGAAGTTACTACTAGTGTTGGGTGATGAAGTTGAGTAGTGGTAGTAGTAGTAGAGATGGTTGTTGCGCCTGGCAGGAAATGAGTTCACCGGTCAAATCGTTAACATCGCCATCATTACTTCGCAATTATTAATTCTTTATTGTCCGTTGTCTGCAGCCGGCTTAGATGCTTGTTGGTGGTGGAGTCTTTGCGTCTGCTGTCGCGTACCTCAGTGTCTGAGTCTGCGTCCTCCCCTCTCTGTCATGTGTGCGTTGTGCCTTGCCTTTTAATTCTCCTGGTGTCAAGTACGTCAACCAACTGCACCTCTCGAAACGCTCTTTTGGTGTTACTGCTCGCCTTTATAATTGACAAGCAAGAAAGTGGCGAGATTGAGCTCATTCATACGCTCCCATCAGGACTTCACTTCTTGCCTGGTGGTCCTTCCTCCCGTCACGAGACTTTGGATGCTAGTTTTGATTGAAGAATTGCACAAAGAAAGTACATTTTTGACGCTGGGTCCTGCGCCGTCGACTTCACCCTTGGTATTACTGAAAGGACGACGCGCTTCCTTGAGTAGAGAAACTATATGCCTGAGATTGGCGCCGGACAATTCTGTTCACTGTTTGCAAAAGGAGTAGCCGCGTTGATGAGTGTAGAGAATTAAACTGCATTTAAGAGCATTGGCGTCGGTACTGGGGGATTGGTGGTAGGCTCAATGGCAGTGCAATCGCAGTATCTGCCCAACGTCGTTCTTCCAGACGACGGCTCCAACAGGTCTTGATCACCTTCTTGGATTTCTACTCGGGCGAATATGAAAACATCATATGTTGATCTTCTTGTAGCTGTTGGTTGTTTGCAATAAACTGAAGAGTCTTGTCACTCGTTCCGTTGTCAAGACGAGGGGTTGGCAAGCTGATTTGTGCTCTAAATTGGATCAGGGCCCCGGCTGTAGTTGGAAATGAAGAGCACCCCAATTTCTTGACGGCGGGTGGTATTAATCAGAACGCGTTCAACCTCGGAAAGTTCCGGAATCCATCGACCGTGATGCCCGAATCTAACCAATACCATGTCTTCAATCAACGTGAGGCCTTGGGCATTGAATCCCTGAATTTTCCCGGTTCATTGTAGAGAAGCCTTCACATTTGGATCGTTTTCAATTTCTCGATGAATTTCTGAGAAGCTCTCAGATTTGCGAATCAGGCTGATGAAATTGTATGCCCTATCGATTTTGCAGTGGCAGGCGGGCGCCAGGGATTTACGTCGCAGCTTGATGCGTCGCTCCCGAACGGTGCAGACAAAGAAATTGTCGCAAACAATCTTCTTGGGTCGAGAAAAAGGTCACGAGAAGCTGAAGACCTTCGCAGTCAATGGCAGCAGCAACAGCAGCTTCTAATGAACACTGTATCTGAATTCCACCAGAATACGGGTCCTGGATCTGTGGTAAACCCCCAATCAACAGGTGTTTCGACGGGATTGCGGCTCACCTTTGAGGATGACCGTCTGCGGTCTTCTTCCCCCGTCTCCACCAGCGGAAGGTTAGAGGCCACGAAGATTTTTACCTCCAGCATTGCTGAAAACTTCGGCACGCATTTGCAGCAAGAGAGGGATGAGATTGAGCAGCTTTTGAAAACTCAGGTACTCAGCGTGCTTGTCATGACCTTTTAATCTGTGCAAGATGCATTGCCATGGTCGAAAGAATTGATTTGACATTGATTGCGATACCGAAGGCATTTCGATGACTGGCCCGCTAGGTTTTAGCAATTGTTTCGATCCAGTGCACTCACTCCTTGGGGTTGAATTTTAATTTGCCTCTGCAGAGGGACCAACTTAAAGCCTTTCTGGAACAGATGAGACAGCGGCATTCTCGCCAACTGGTAGCCGTAGTGGAGGAGGGATTTTCACGCAGGCTACGCGAGAAAGACGTGGAAATGGAGAAGGTGAAACTCCAGAACCAGGAATTGATGGAACGTTTCACGCAGCTTAATGCAGAATCGTATCATTGGCAAAACAAGCTTCGCACCACAGAAGCCATGGTGAACATCTTGAGGTCCAATTTGCATCAGGCTCAGCAGCAGCAGCAGGCGTACCCACCAAGCAGGGAACAAAGCAAGGAAGGATGCGGGGACAGCGAGGCGGATGACTGCGCGTCTTCTTACGTGGATGACCGCAACGACGCCCACACTCGCACCATCAACGAGAACAAGGAGCTTCGGGAGCAGCGCACTTGCAGGGTTTGCCGATGCAAGGACGTCTCCATGCTCCTCTTGCCGTGCCGGCATTTGTGCCTGTGTCTGGGTTGCGAAGGACAGCTTCACGCGTGCCCCCTATGCCGAACACCGAAGAATGCTAGTGTGCAAGTGTATATGTCATGACGTATAAACGATTAATCCCATCACAGTTCCAGGAATCTAACAGTGGGTCATAAGGCACCAACAAAAACAGAGCTATTACATGATCATATATCACTGCACAGAAAGAAAAAAAAAGAGAAGAAAAAAAAAGAAAAAGAAGAAGTGTTCATGTATAGTCAACAGACTTTCAGTGGATACCGTATTTGGGTAATCGGTATAGGGTTATCATTTATTCGCTTGAAGAGAGGGAATGTGGATACGTCGGGCAAGGCTGATTTAACTGCACACGCTACTGCTGTGTATGCATCGCAAGGTTTTACAGCCAACCAGTTACTTCCAATAGTTAGCATGATCAACCCCTCTGAAGATGTGTACATGCACCCCAATTATTTTTTTGGAGTTGTAGAGAATTTATTACATTCTTGTGATCCATTTCGGAGGTCGGTGCTTAATTGCTCAAAGAAAATACAAGAATTGTTCGCATTCTCTATCTGGGGTTGAAGTTTTGGTTCTTGCACTGCCTCATCTTTTGGTAGAATATGCAACATTTTTCGCATGATGGTGTTGTAGAGTTATGTAATATTTCAGGTATTGCACTACAATGGAGATAGCTAGCTCACAGGTTGTGCAAATATGGTTAGACTTGAGTAGGTACGTATGCAAACAAGTTGTCTAGCTGTCTTCTAGGGGTAGGAGTGCAACGCCTTTCGTGCCCCTTGTACCGTGGAAGAACAGTGACCTACTACGATGTGCACACATACTGCACCGTGGTGAGTTAGTGTTGGACCTTTCTCATAATAACCCACATCCGTCTTTCAGGTGGTAGATCACGGCACGCTTCACGTGGACATTGGGAGCGACTTCATAATCATCACCAGTTTTACTTGCCACCATATTGGAACCTGGTTGTTGATCGACGTGCGTCCAACCTGTACTTCGACAAGCGTGTGGCATTTGTGGTTTCTTACATGTCCGTTGTCACGTCCTCACAGTTTACCGTAGCGCCAGCTCTGATCGACTGACCGCTTGCCAGCTAACTTGTCCATTCCTTCCCCAAAGGCTTGTTCTGTAATGGCACCATTCAACTCAGCTGTGCAATACAGCACATTGCAGAGCGAGCGCTGCCCCACCTCCCGGAAGTTACAACCAGTGGGTCAATGAAGGGCCAAACCCTGTGCATGTCCTTAGTAAGTTTTCGTTCCGCACAACTTTGCATGACGGGCTCCTGCCACCAGATCAGTTTCCGGACCCCCCTTATCAGCTTTGATCACGGTGACGGTCAGAGCAGCATCCGTGGATCATCTTTATCAGCTACTCTCCACAAGTAATGGCCCATAACCGTAACCGTAAACTTCGTGTAAGCGTTAGGCGTGATTCGCGGGTACTTTCGCAACGCCGCAAACAGCGATTCCAACGAATTCCGATCGGAAGAATCTGAAGGAGGCGGGCCTGCATGTGCACTGATCATCCGATCGTTAGATCATCGGCCTCTTGAATTCGCACCCACCATGGCGGCAGGGTTCATCGCGTACAGTCACTTTCGGTGGTCATCCATCGAGAGTTTCGATTCCACACCACGAAATAATACTAAAGAAAAAAAAAACCGGCAAGCACACTGTAGTAGTGCTCTCGTCTGAGCGACCATCTGCATCACCTGCCACCACAGTACCCTCCTCTATTCAGTGGAAGGCGATGTGTTCCTCCTTGAGATCACGCCGCAGAGCTCATAGTGACAAATTCAAGTGCCATCTGATCACTAGTATGAAAAAACCTGTGGAATACCCGAGAGTAAGTTAATGGGGTGCAGTCCACTTGCAGCATGTTGCTCGCCTGCAAAGACATACGTGAACTCATGAACTGCATGTCGATCAGATCGATCAGATCGATCAACACTCCGACATCCAACGTACTGGTACTCTCGTGAGCTTGAGCTCCTGCACTCCTCCTATTTCTCTGGCTCCCGAACGAGAGCTTGAAGACAAAAGGTGTGCCGCATGTCCAAGTGGTACGAAGAAGCAGGAGGGGCAGATGCCAGCACGCCAGATGGATAACAACGCAATCACAAGGAACTGGGTCTGGAACTAAATTCCCTCCCCCTCCCTGCCCATGAACCTTTGCTTCCACGTTGTTATTGCTTCTCCTGCTGGTGCTGCTGCTGTATCTTCTGCTCCTCTGCCACCGATTGTCTTCCTGTTGTCAGCTTTCATGTGGCAGTTTCTGCTCTCTGCTAAAGCTCTCCTGTAACTGTCTCCACCGAGACCGCTGTTTCGGCCATGCTCCACTCACTCGGAATATTTTACATCTATACTATTTGCTTCTAAATTACAAGTTTTTATTGAAGAGACGCTTATCGAACATGTATCGATACAATTGAACTCACATTATTTTTTTATATTTGTGATATGTGAAATTTGAACATTGTTGTGATTTAACAATTTTTTTTTGGTATTTTTTTTTAAAAAATACGTGTGCGATGTCCTTTTCCATGAATTTTGTACTGATTCAATAAATATATATTTGTTTGTTTAAGAATACAAAAAAAGATCAAGAAGAGGTATATTTTTGAAGTGGCTATTTTCAAGAACAAGAAACTAGCAAGTCTTGAATCCATATTAGAGTAGAAGAAAAGTCTTGAAAAGAGTGAAAATGACCTCAATCTTATCTATACATGCACGGGTTAATAAAAAAGACCATGTAGAAGTTTCTTAAAGACTACAAGGCTTATAAAAGAAGTGTTGAAATTGTAGAATTTTTAAAAAGAAATACATAAGATTACAAGAAAATTTGATGTTGGTTTTTAAGTTCATATAGACACACTTAAATTTTAAAACATGTTTACATTTTTAGAATTAAAAAAGGCTGTTTTTAAAATTATTACAATTTTTGTGTATTTTGAGAAATTAATATTATTTTATAAAATAAAAATAAGAAATTTAAATATATATATATATATATATATATATATGCTCTTCCACTATAATATGTCATTTGTATATTACACTATTCTATATAGATCTATTTATATTAAATAAAATACATAATAGTCTTAGAATTTTTTCAATCAATATAAATTTGAAAATTTTAAAGTATTTAGCTTAAGATCAAGATTTAAAATACTATGTGCTAAAGGCTCTGCTTGTATTAAAAAATATATATTTTTAATTTTTTTTATGGTCTTTAAAATTTGAGTTTTTTTAATATAAAAACAAACATGATTTTATAGCTAGAATAAGTTCTTTAGAATAAAAAATTTTCATTTTGTGAAAAAATTAGAAAAATATATTTTACCACAAAAAACATTCAAGAAAAAAATTAAAAACATAAAATGATGCATTTACTTATAGATAGTAAAACTCTTTGTGAAAATAAATTTAAAAAGATTTTTTTTGTTAATAGCATGTTTTTTTGTTAAATTATTGAAATTTCTATGACTATATACCAATAGTTTTATTAATTTTTTTGATAAAGGTTTTATTTACCAGCATCTAGATGATTTTAGTATAATAAATTTGTTTTTTTTAGAAAGTATATTTTATATTGCTAAATTTTACAAAAAATAATTACAAGTTTTTATAAAGAAATATACTAATTTTCTTTTTTTAAAATAATTGCTAGATGAAAGAACTGTTAAGCATATAAAATTATAAATTATTATTTTTCTATTGAATATCCTACATCTAGTTAGTTTCTTCATAGATTGTCACCTGGTTTTTAAGCATATGTAATTTTACCAATATCTCTCTCTCTCTCTCTCTCTCTCTCTCTCTGTATATATATATATATATATATATATATATATTAAATCATACTTTTCTTAAACAAATAAAATAAATATGTATTATATTTTTAATTTTTAAAAAATAAATCTAACTTAAGATAATAATATTAATATTTAATTATAATTGGTTAATAAAACTTTGAAGCTTAGATCTAGTACCATCAAACTTCTCAAGAACAAATCTTGGTTTATTAATGGATGAATTTAAATTTCTTTATTAATTTACAATAAGATAAATTTACAAAAATTATAAAGTTATTAAAGAAAATTTTGCCATCTTTTTGTGTTTAGGACTAATTGCTCCTAATATTATATTTGGTGAAAAATAAATTGATGCATTACAAGCATCAAATCTTTTGTTTTATTGTACAATTGAAATATATATGTATGTAATTTATTAATAGTTTTAAAAATATATACATATATATATATATATATATATATATATTCTAAATAAAAACATTAGAAAAAAGTCTATACAAATACAAATCTTCTTTACTTAAATATTGAAGATATCTATGACAATGTGGTTAATATTTTAGTATATATATATATATATATTTAAATTAATTAAATATTTAGAAATATAGATATGCATAATTTAATATAAATAAAATATGTAATGCACTCAATAAAACCATGAAGATAATTTGAAAGAATTGGTACTATAAAATATATTTTATCTTTGGAAATAATAAAAAAAAACATATATCATAGCTATAATAAGCTCTAAAATATGTTCACACATTTATACTTATACATATATATATATATATATATATATATACATATAGACAATTTTTTATGAAGATTTTCTAAATTTAATATTTAAATAAAAATTTTCATTTTATTTTATTATAATATAAGTAATTTTATTTTAATTTTACATTTATTTGATTTTATTTTATCACTTATTAATTTTAAAATATCAAAATTTATCCTTAATAAAAACCTAAATTTTATTTTGAATTAAAAATAAAAAAGGTAGTATATTTAAAGAAAATTTAAACTACCTATTGATACATTGTCATAAAAATATTAATAAAATATGAATAGAATATTGAAAATCATGGAAGAATGATATGCTGTACGTGAAATTTGAAGAATGATTATTCTCTCTCTCTCTCTCTCTCACACACACACACATATAGATATATATATATATATATATATAAATATATATATGTATATATAAATATAAATATATTTTTAAAAATTAGAAAATATGTTTCTAAAAAACTTTAAGAAATATAAAGAGATATCAAAAGTTTAAAGACTTAATATATTAAAAACTAAGAAACTGGAAAATTAATATCATGCAAATATAAAAATTAGAGTGGAATTTTTTTCCTCCTGGGGCAATATTTCTGATGACAATGCATTTTAATTATGTACAAAAAATAATGGATCAGATGTATCTTTTAATTCACTAAAACTGTTTGCCCATCTCCACTTCGTCACTGGTTTCTTCCTCGTTCGTTCGTTCTCCTTTTCATCCATTCTGTCTCCGTCCATCCATTCGCCCCGCCATCCGTCCTTCCTTCCTTCCATCGTTAAGTTTGTCCTTTCGCTCGTACTTTCGTTCGTTCGTATTGCCTTCGACTAAGCTCCCGCATCGGAGTGTCGCCACCGCTGTGAATGGCGCATGCAGGCATAATTCCGCTGCGCTTGATCCACAGCCGCAGACACAACTCATGCTCGAAACTCATCTGGCTGCCATGGCCGAACTAGCATGGCTGGGCAGGAAGTGACTGCTGCGGTACCATTTCACCTGCTCCGAAGAAGACTGCTTCTGAGAGTGTCATTCTCAGTATGCCTTTCTGCTATTGAGAACTGTAAGAGTTTGCTGCTTTGGAAGAAAATGATGTGTTGATACTATTTCAGCGAGTCATCCTATGATTTGGGTTTCTTTTTGTCGATGCTTTGTGCGGTCCTACTCAGGATTCTGTGTACCTTGCTGGTTTGAATCCTTGTGTGGGTAAGCCTTTGCCTTGTTTTGTGGAAGCTCCTCACATCGGCAACCGCGAAGTGCAGCCACATTTTCCTGTGCTCCAGGATCAAAAGGAATGGTAGTTTTATCTTTGGATTGAGACCTGAGGTCTGTCCCGTTTCAAGAGTTATGGATGCTGAATTGCTCTTGAAACCAGGTGAATTTTCAGTGGCGGCTGCATAAGTGGTGCTTGCCCTGCATACTGTGGTAGAGGTTGTGGTGACTGCCTTGCGCTTACTGCGGATTTTACAGGCGTGTACGAAGTGGTGAAAGGCGCCCTTCGAAGGTGACAGTGATCATCAAGGTGGATCCCGAAGCAGTCTCGAACCTGACGAGCTGATCCCGAGCAGGAGGTGACGTTTTCTTACTAACCACCATCTGTCTTCAGATAAATGCGAAAGTCGGTATTCGTGCCTACATAGCAATCGAAAATTCTTTTACTTACGGATCGATTCTCACGACTCATACGGTAAAATGAGAAAAGGTACATTTCATGCACAAGATCAAGAGAGTAATCACGACCACAGGAACAGAAGATGTTATAATGCATCATGTTCCGGTTGGAGAAGCGATATGCCGGTATTCGGAACATCTTTTTCTAGCGGATGTCTGGAGGAGTCCTTCGCATGGAGGGATGATATACCTCGTATCAGGGGTTGTAGTGGTGGAGATTACGAGCATTTCGAATCTCTTCAGGGAGCGGAAGAGTGATTGCTAATCTGTAAATGCTGGACAGCGTGTGTGGATTATGGCTCGTCATTTCGTTCAGGATTCTGCCTCTACAGATGGAGCCGTTCTATTCGGTCAAAGCAAGCGTTATGTTCCATCCAGAATCTCGAATCCAGGTTACTTGAAACGCGTCATCCTCTGAAGCGACCTCTGATGGTGTAGATCGCGTTGAACATTGGTTTGAGGACGTCCACAGCAGTTCGCACCAATTTGAATATTGGAATACCAGAGAAGCTGGTCTGTCAAGATCGAGTGTACTCGGGAGGGTACCTTCAGGTTCTCCGGCAAAAGCACAAGTTAACATTCTTACCGTAACAATGTGGCTTGAATAGTGCTTCACAGTTTGGAACGCACAGTGAATGGATATACCAAATGATGCACATCAAGATCCTAAATTTTGATACGACTGACGACCTTGGTGCGAAGTGACAGATGATTGTGATGAGTGAAGCTCGTCATTGAAGTGTAACGGAGTGGGAATGAACAATAGGTAAACTTCTGTTGGAAGGATGCACACCGTTCTTGCAGCTGCAGAATGGTTGCGAAGCTATTACTTGCACTGTTACGTGATCGGTGGTTTTTTAGACAATTCTTCCAATAAGAACTTCACACGCTCTCGACTCCTGTTTAATGTCGTAGGTTAAACGATTGGAGTTGATGAGTTGAGACCGCCTGTTGTTTGTTTCGTTTGCAGAGCAGTGTCGTCAATTTCTCGATCGATCTCAGTGTTGTGTAGGACGGCCTGCACTTTCCAGGTGACGGAACCCCCTGCTTTCACCTATCCAGCAAAGGAAGTCACACTCAGACCATATTAGGGTTCATGTTCGTCAAGTTTTCATTTATTTTTCTGTCCGTATGTTTGTCCATCTGCTTGAGTTTTGCTTGCCTAATTCTATCTAAGCCTTGTATCTATGCACATCAGCTTGATGTGCAAGCAACCTCGAAACTCTTGCTTCTTAGTCTAGGATTTGAAAATCGAGTTGTCGGTACGAGGGTTGGCTATGTCATTCACAGGGGACAGTCGCATTGGAGTCATAATCCTAGTTGGATTAGTTTGTGTGCACGATATGAAATTGGAATTTCTCGTTTTCATTTTGTTTTGTTCCTCTTCCCTTTCACGAGTTTGATGATGACAAAGTCAAGCGTGTGAGTATTTCTTGTAATTTGATTCAACATGTATTGCGGAGATCACGTTAGCTTGGACGAGAGAATAATGTCAAGGATCAAGAAGTTGGTGTATCAAGTGCTGTACACGACGAGTTCGAGTGGAGAAACAGATTGTTGAATGAATTTCCGGCCACTATGAGCAGTTGTGAGAGTTGCAGATGCTTAATTTTGGTTGCTAATGCACTTCACATCCTACTATTCATTGCGACTGACACAAACCTCTATAAATCGTAGACCTGACTTCCAGCACCCTGTGTGAATGTGGAAAAAATTGGAAAGTATAAAGAATTTCTATTAAATGGGTAAATTAACATATTTTAACCAAAATTCTTTGTAGATGTAACGGCTCTTCTGAGCCCAACATCTGGCAGCCATGCACTCAAGATGAAACCACTGACTGGCGCTACATAGTCTTTGTTTTGTCAGTGGAACTTCCAACTTGTCGAGTCTGCCATCTTTGACTCATCCAGTTCTGAAACTAAATTTTGATGCATTTCAGAAAGGAAATCTTGAGCAAGTCGTTACATTCCTTGGTGCAACTTGACATACTTTTTTCTTTTTTTTGTTTGTTTGTTTGTTTGTTTTTTTTCTCATGTTGTGGATGTTACTGCTCTAGAGAAGTGGACCCAACTCTTCCTTAAAATCACTCCTGATAAACAGGTTCTGTTTCAAACCTGTCAGCGGCCATAGAGCCTCAGTTTCTACGTCATAATTAGAAACGCGGGTGTGCACCTGCATTCTTCAATCCATGGCTAGCCTCTAGATTTGAAATGTTTGAAACATCCGTACTTTTTTGGTTATTGAGTTGATGGAGTGTCCACATGGAGTCCGGGTGGGTGATGAATCTGGAGGTGAAGCCCGAAGTGAAGCTCGAGTTCAAGCTTATCATCGTCATCCACGATGGCAGTGTCCTCTGGGAAGAGATTCCCAACCGCATGTCGTCACTTCCTAACGTTTGAAGTGAAGTTAATTTTGCAACTTGTTGGACTTTCATTCGAAAGACCAAGCTTCAGATACGAGAGAGCGAGGGGAGGGTCAAGCGAAATGAAATCGTATATTGAAAACGTTCAGTAAAGGACGAAGAGTATGGGCAGAGTGGGACTGAGTTTTCGGGTACGGTCAAGTTTCTGTGGAGTAAATGATAACATAATAACGAAATGAGTTTGAATGAAACACCGAATGCCTGGTACATAACACTCCCCGAAATCAGCTCTTGCAATAGTTCGAAAAACTATTTAAGGAAATATAGGTGACTTGCCGCAACAAAGACCTGGCCCACTCTCATCTTTTACATTTTGTAACACAATCGAGGCGCAAGTTGCAGGACCTTTATCCACTACCAAAGCTGTTGATTTAATTTTTCAACTCTCAATGACCCGGTGACGTAGTAAGACAATTCGTTCTGCAGTGCCTAGATTCTAGAAACTCTTTCGAACGACTAATTGATCGTCGTCAACAACAATCCAAATTTCGTGTACGTGCATTTATTTGAGCTATATATTCCAGGTTACTTATTCTGGAATGACTTTCAATTCAAAGCATTGGCCAAGCAGCCATGAGTAGAATCTTCTAGTGCCACTTGATAGTCTCTATGAAGATATTGAATTCTTTTGATCTGATTTCTTGGCGCCTTGTTCCGTCGGCAGGATTCAGAACCGAGTAGCTCAATGAAGTAATAGACGACTTTGCATAATCAATCATTCTACACAATTGATCGTCGTTAAAAATAAAAATGACTACGAGCTTTCGTCAGAGCTTTCAGGTAGTTTTAAGAAAGCTGGTGCCCGCTACGGAGATCACACAAGATGAGACTCCGCCTTGCTTAAGGAGACCTCGTAAAGGTTCTGCCACTACATTATTACATCTAAGGTTGAGATGGGGGATCATAGCCAATTCTGTGGAATCAATTTCCAACTTTCCTAGCTTTAAGATTAGAAAAGAAACTACACACATCTTAACAGTGAGAGGAGCAGAATGCAGTAACACTATTTGCTTCCACCTTGACCTGAAACTTCTCAAGTAAATTTCACCTCTCTTTCGGGAGTTCTCGAATCACGTTCCATAACCTCGTTCAGATTTATTTCAGTGACCCGTCTCCTAGTAACCAAATTTTCTTCTAATTGCTTGCGGTCACTGTGTTCGTATCATCACTTCAACCAGCTCAACTTTCGAACATTCTTTGAAACAACGTAGAGAAGAGTACGTTATCTCATTTTGTGGTCCCAAGGACTAGAATGCAGATTGGCCAGATTGTGACACATTCGGAAGGACTTGCAGATAGGAATCGAATGGACCTTCTGCAAGCAGATAAGGTTAAAGCCCACTGCTTTCGCAACTTACAGCATTCCATCACTGAAGCCTCTACTGGGCGAGAAAAGGAGACTAGACCACTGAGACCTTGCTCCACGAGCAGGAAGCTCATTTAATGAGGGGGAATTGGTTGCCTCAGTTAACCAGCAGTGATAAGACTCCATCAACCATTTGCTACCAAGACTTCTCTTCCGCAAGTGAAGTCACATTCTGCAAATTGCAAAACAGAAGATGTACAGTATCTTGCTAGAATGTGCTCGTTGTAGCAAATCCACTCAACCAGTGGTTGCGACGCGCACTGAGCCAATGCACAACTCGTAATGCTGTTCAACTCCCAGCGTTTTGCTCTTTAGCTAACAGCGACGTGTAGAGACCACCTGTATGATGACAGAGCTGCGGGATACTATTTCGTGACCTGGAAACTACAGTTCCAAGCTTGCAAACACGATGTCAATCCCCCTACTTTGAATGATCGCTGGCTTTGTTCCTGCGCCGAGGTCTCGCACTCTATCGCCCGAGTCTCTTGGGCATCGATCAGGTTGAGCAACATCACACGACAGTGTGAATTTGAAGCATGATGGTTGCGAGATGAGCCTCACACCATCCTCATGAAATCCGACAAGGGCTGATTCCCAGCATTGCGCGGATAACGAGATGTTTCATGTGTGGCGATTTGCTGAGTTGGGATCTGATCAGGCGTTGACTCTCCATTGTCAACGATCTTGAGTCAACGCCTGCGGGTCAACTCTACGTTCTTATCTGAATTAGTGGATTTTGATGAGTGTTGGGAGATGGTTATCATAAGAGTAAACAATAACGAATTTGAATACTATGTGCAATTATAACATGATTTTATTTTAAATTTCTAGCTAATTTAGAATTTTTACATTTCTTTACCTTATTCAAGTGTTGAAAATTAACAATCATAATAAAAAATTAAAATTAAAACTAAAACTTTGAAAACTAAGCAATAGAAACTATGAATTGAGTTATAACAAATAAGTTATACAATATTTTTACAATATACCTATTTATCCTTCATCAAGATGCTTACATAAGCTTATAGATTTCTTAATATTAAATATAATATAATTTTCTATTTATAAATTATTTATTTATATTTTTAACTAAAAAAATAATAAAGGTAATAAAATAGATATTATTTAAAGCTTCCATCATTTATTTGTTAAAATTTTAATTTAATAAACTTCAATCACTATCAATGTCATTTAATAAAGTATTAAGGTCCAATTTAATTATTAAATAAAAAATATTAGTAATTTAGGTTAAAAGAATAGTATAAAAGTAATCCATAATATTAAATAAAAAAGATAATATAATTAAAATAATATCTTTTGATGTTATAGTAAGTTATATTATTTAAAAATTAAAAAGGTTTTAAATTTATAATAAAATATCAAAAATAAAAATATTTAATATAATTTAATTAATTAAAATTAATTAAATTATATTATATTTATATTTAAAAAATTTAATTCTAATTTATGTAATAAATCTATTTTTTAGATAATATAATTTTATTAATTTATATAATATTTGTATTATTTTGATTCAACCAAATTATAGCTCTATGTATCTATATAAATAAAATATATATATATATATATATATATATATATATATATACAAATTCAAACTTAAATTTTATTACATACCACATGGATACTGCTTTGACTTTATATATGTTTGTAGTTGATTGGTAGGTTAGAAACTTAGTCAACAAATCAACCATTTGTTGATAGCTTGTGGAACAAGCTAACTATATAGTGCACATATAGAAAACCTATCTTATAAGTTAAAATATGAGTCTTACAAAGTCAATATGTTTAGGAGGTCCTATAGGATATCACCACATAGCTCTTAGTTAAGACTGTATATAGAGGCAAGAGTAAAGCCTTCTTCATTCTTGTCAATGTCTTTCTAATCTTTAGTCTTCTTTCAAGACTTTCTAGTCTTGTCTTTAGCAATAGCCATTCTAGTTTAATTTTATATCATCTTTGAGTGACTTTCTAGTTCTTTTGAGTGACACAAGAGTGTATTGAGGATTCTTTCTTCGAGATTCATATCCTTGATAGTTTGACAAAAATCCTAATTCATTATTCTTATCTTGTTTTAGAACTGAGTAGATTACTCTACTTCTATTGTTGTATTTTGAAGGTTGCAAATTTTCCACCTTTAAAAAAATTATTTAGTTTTTTAATACTAATTATTTTCTTAAAGAGAGTAGATTATCCTTCTTTGTAGAAATTTTCCTTTGACATTAGAGATTGTAGATTATCCTCTTTTAATTTGACTTGTGGATTTATTTGTTAAGTTGTTTGAAATAGAAGAAAAAATTATGGATGCTACACTTGGTAGAAATAAAAATAGATTTGTAACTATTACAAATCTTCACAAACTTGTCAATACTTATAGGATAGAAATTTCATGCATTATCAACACCAATCAAGGAAACATTAATCCTATCTCTATAGAAGAAGTTTAAAGTCTATATCAAAAAGTTGTGCAATTGAAGGGAACAAGTAGATCAATGTCATAACCAAATCTAAGGATTTTTGCTTCTATAAGTGCAACTAGAATAAGGATTAGTGTGCCCAAGAAA